ACCGACCACCGAGCCGACGCAGTGGATTTCAGTCTCGAACTGGTGAGTTTTTGCGTTGGTTTCGGGTGAGCAGGTGATCCGACAGGAAGTGAACTCGCTAGACGAGAGGTTCACAAGTTGAAGGCAAAAAAACAAAACACGCAGCCGAGTTTCCTGAGAGGCGGTGCAGCACCAACTCCCTGCTCTCGGCCTCTACTCCGAACCCGACTAACTGTCTACGTATGTCTGTGTGTCCGTCAATCCAAGCAAGCGAGCACCGTTTGATTCCCTCCTTTCTTTCTCGGAGCGTACTCTTTGTGATTTTCGGCCAAACATGTTCGTCTGTGCACCGGGTGTATTCCAAAGCTCCAAGGGAAGAGCTGGTGCGGCAGTAAAAAACAAAGCTGGATTTCAGAGTGGAGCAGATCTGTTGATTCCTCCGAGCCGAGGGGGGCCGGCAATCTTTTGAGAGGATAGTCAGTCGTCGTCGGGACCACCTGCTTAAGACAAGGGAAGCTCGGCTGCTGCCTCCTCCTCCTAGTCCGCTAACCATCCCAAAAGAGCACAGACATGCAGATAGGCTGGCTGGCTGGTTGGCGAGCCAGCGACAGACAGACAGACAGACCGACCGACCGACAGATATTCAACCAAGGAACCAGTCAGTGAACCAACCCCGAATTCCCTCCCTAGCCGCATCCACCTCCATCGTTTGTTCTTTCTTTCGCTCACTCGCCAGCCACCATCTTCTACGATCTCGCTACAGCGGCCATGCCAGCAGCAGCAGGCACTTGGACAGTCAAAGCATTCGTTCCCACGCTAAGAAAGTTCATATGGTGTGTGTGTGAGCGTAAGTAGAGAGTCCAAGGCGCGTCCGCTTAGAGGGGGTGGCGCGGATTCTCGACCTCTGCCGCCCTTCCCGGATAGAGGAGTCGATGCAATCGAGTAAAAACCGGATTCCAGGGATGAATCAGAGCTCGCATCAGAGTTCGAGAAAAACGCGTGATGCGAACGCGCAGTTTAACGGTAGCGGGCCGCATCTGACGCGGTCTGGTCAAACAGGTCAGCTGTGGTTGGCCATATGATAGACGGAGTCGTTGACTATGACTGAGATGGCCTTGCCTCGTGTCGACCGTCTCAATGATCACAACACAACAGTGTTGAACCACAGCTGTTTCTCGAGATCACATTCATCGGGATAAATCAAAGGTTCGACGTCCGAATGGGAGAGCCGACCCGGGATAACGACAAACGGACGGAACTTGATTTTCCCGGACGTCTAGTCAGGAAAGCGTCTGATCCGACGTCCACACCTTCGAGTTCCGCTCAGAAAAGGATTAGCCGACGGGAGACGATACTCTGGCGGCGCCTTGGCATTCAAATGCAGCTTTTTTATCCGAGCATTCCATCAGCAGCTTCCTCTCACGCGTTTTCCACAGCGAGATGCTTAATCCCTCTTATTATCGATATACGGGAAAAAGTACGCGAGGTCGTCGGGGTTCTCCCTTGGATACACACGTCACTGAGAGTTCCGTCATGTTCCTCCAGTGCACCGGACTCGACGGCCTCTCGAAAACTAGGACGTGTTCGTGGCCGGCAGGAGCGCGAGCAATGTCTCTCGTGTTGAAAAATTTCGAAATGATCGAACAGGCGAACGGATCAGCCGAAAGAAGCGGCGGAGCCGGCGGCACCCCCTCATAGTCGCACCTGGTTTTTCGTGAGTGACCGTTGGCCTTCTTCTAGCCTGCGCGACTAGCTGGCTGTGTTCGTTTCTCGGCTCGTTCGCTTCCTCCGTGTCTACTAAGATGATGCTGGTTGCAGAATCTTGGCGCGCCACCTGTGCGTTCTTCCCAGAAGATAGGACGTCAATTTACGTGCACACACACGCATACAAGGCACAGTAATCTATCTGCCCCTTCCTATTCGTCTACCGTTGCTGTCTGGTGATCCGCCCCGATTTTGAGGATTTGCGTTCGAACGCAGCATGTTGGAGAACTCGCAGAAATCGTAAAAACTCCTAAATCTCCAACCAGAACGGGTTGAATGACTGCGAGGAATTCCGTCGACACACCCGCTAGGTAGAGTAGCCGAACGAGGAGGATCCGAACAGGAAGGGAGCGCGTTCGTCATTCATAAGTACCGCACTTTTCTCGAAAGAAAAAAGCGAAATTTGAAAATGTGATTCCGCACGGGAGCCGACAGAAGTCGATTGGAATCTCATGAGCTTCTGCATCCATGAATTCCTAAGGCATTCGAGACGCCACGGAAAGGAGTGGTTTCCTGTCTCGAAGTCCAAGGACCGATAATTCCAATGCGGATTCCGACGAGCGGCCAGGCTCGTGGGATCACGAGCTGGTGAGAAGAAAGTAGGTAGGTATATGTATGCAGGGATAGTAGCCGCTGACTGAGAGGCAAGCAAAACCACTCCTCTACCTCTTGAAGAGGATTTTTTCTTCCTTCTCATGCAGTGAGTAGAGCAATCGCCGTGACCGTGGTTTTTGTCAACGACGCGCCGTCTTCGATCGGAGTCAAAGGAACGCTACGCGACGACCACCGACCACAGCAGCGTACGCAGCTGAACCTGAAGAGGGGTTCTCTGGTCTTGGTCTCATTTTTTGCTCAAAGTCTTATTTTTATTCATTTTTTCTCAGCTCGCTCGGCTCCGGTATCCGTCGCCGAACCCCTGGAGTAGAAGTTGTATAAAGTACGGGCGAGGATGCCGAAGTGGGCGGTGCAGCATCAGCAGGAGCCGAACAGAGAATACGAGCGAAGAATTCATTTCCGCTTTTCTCTCGAAAGATTTTTTTTATAGGTAGCTTCGCTAGCCAGTTCGGCGCGGCAGCAGAAGAGCACACACGGCGTTCTCCAGCCTGAGAATTCAGAAACAAGGAGTACGGTGGTCGTCAGCCGCTTGTGCTATCGATGGGCTGCGTGCTTAGCCAGCATGTACAGAAAAGACGTTCTCGCTGGTAAACATAGACGGTGGCAAGAGGAAATAATAAACAAATAGAGTTATACCGTTCTTTCTCTTTTCTTCTTCGGTCTCATGACCGCCCTCGTGGCTTTCTTCTGCATTAACGGCAGAAGGAAGCCAGCACCCACGAGAATGACTCAAGCTTGAGCCTTTCGCGCCTCCAATGCGGGATCGAGCGAAGCAACGAAGATGACAAGACCACCTCCGATCGATTGACGCGGAGCGAGCCTCGAAGGCCCCTTATTCGGTCCGTTCGTCGGTCGTCCGTTCATTCGACCGCCGGCATCGTCAATGGTAGCGACACAGGCTTTCAGGGCGCCAACGTCGACTCGTCACATGATGCCCAGCTCTACGGTCATTTGCATGAGCGCATCGAGGGATTCGCGGGCGTACGTATCCGCTCATACGGATGCTCTGACTGCGATCATCCACAAACCAGCTAACCTGAACTATTGGTTGGCAAACAGTTATAGGCCGCCAGGCAGGCAAATGGACAGACAGACCGATAGACAGAACAGCCGAGAGCCGTGCATGCACGCACGCAGAGTGCGTTTCGGAGGTTCTCACGACCTTTGTGGAATGCGAACAGAAGGTGTGGGAGTCGAGCAGACATCGATCGTCTTGTCCTACAGCGAACAACCGAAAATGAGCCAGGCCCGCTCGACCAGACAATGACAATAGATCCCATCGGGTTCAGTGGACTAGAAGATCGTAACATGGAATTGATTGGCAAATCGAACGATCTTACTCAGATCTCGATCGAAGTCGTTTGTGAGCGATGCACAAGTCGACGATGTCAAGCGAACGAGCATGCCGTATCGCCAATCAGATGCGTCGGCAGTGATTTTGCGCATCGGTCGCGCTGTTCGGCCGACGAGTCGTGGAAGCCACTGAGCGAGGAGAGTACAACTTCCTCGATCGAGAAGTCGTTGCCATCGATTAACGCTGAAAGGAGTTTCCTTGTTCGGAGACGCTTCTTCCTGGCATCGAAATGAATGTTTCGGCTTGTCGTGGGATCCGACGTCAGGTCTTCGGAGCTCTTCTCTTTCCGACCGGGAGGATTCCCGTCGTGATGAATTCTCATCCTCGATTGGGAGTTCTTCTCTGTTCCCGGAGCCGCGTCCCACGAAAGGCTCAACGCATGAAAACGCGATCACGAATCGAGATCGCGGACCTACGACACTCGAGATCCGCATAATGAGTGAAGTCCTCTGAATGAGCTACATTCGATTGAACGGAACCTGATCACAGTGGATCGATTAACCAATGGCCGTTAGTACGGCGCTTCATCGCGCGACCGCGAGGGAGCAATGAGCAAGCAGACGAATCGCCGCCGGAAATGAGCATATCGGTCTGTTGTTCAAACGACGATCATCGAGGACCTGAACTGTATGAGACAAGCCATTCCCCGACATAGAGCTTCGTAAGAGCTTCGAGAAGCCAACGCCGGCCAAACGTGCGAGGGGCTGATTTTGAGCTTCATACGATGAAACGTTATTCCTCCGTCGAAGGCACAGCGGCCGCTGGGGACTCAAAGAGGGAAAGTTCGAATGAAAGGCCTCGTTCAGTCGTTGGACGCTCATTTGGCATATCTTCCGCTAATTCCTCTGACTTCAAGAGGAAATTCACGTGAGATCCCCTTCGACACTTCGGAGTGATTTCTAGCCAACATTGAGACCGAAACAGAACCATCACTTGATTCAACGATGACATCCTTCGACGCTGACTTGGACTCCCCCGGAAGGACGTCTTCGTACAGATACGCTCTCCTCGGCCTCTACAAACTCCTAGACACTGATCTGCGAGCAATTAGAGTCTCTTGATCGAGTCCATGATGACGTTTATCTATCCGGTCGATCTCTGATCCCATACAAGCCTCTCAGGGCGTAATGATCCCATCTCTGCCGTTCGGACAGTACATCAATCGACCGGGCGAGCGAGCGAGCGAATCCGCGATTCGACACCTCATGGGATTCCTCCGGGATCATGCTCCAATCTCAGAGCGTGATTACTGTTGCCATCTAGATCTCAATTCATGATAGGGTCTCACCTGCGGCACCGTTTTGAGCGTTCGCGTCGGAATCGCTCTTAAGCATCTCTTCATCCTCTTCGGAGACTGGAATGAACTTCAAAGGTGGAGGCACGGGTCTCTTCATCACTCTCAATTGTTCTTTCGGCTGAGTTCCGTTCGCAGATGAAGAATAGTTAAATTTATCTTGGGCACTCTGTTGTTGTTGAATTTGCGCTTGTTGAGTAGAATGACTGACTGTCGTCGATGAGCACGACGTGGGGGGAGCCGTCGAAGATACCGGGGGAGGGATTCCGACACGTTTCGGAGTTGAAGACCCGAGGGAGACCGGTGGGTTCCGACTCCGGGGACTCTGTAGATCCATGGGCTCGTCTTGCATTGGGAGATGCGCAAGATGGGCCGGCATGAGACCTTCGCCGACGGCGGGGACCCTATTCCAGTCCATGTCCATGGGAAAGTTTTTTTAAATTCTCTTAAGAGTCCTTTCGTGGTCCGGGAAACCACGGAGATTCCGGTTTGCAGTCGATAACGGTATCGAGTCACGTCAGTCGCCCATTGACTCTCTGAGGAGCCGTCAGCAAGGGATCGGTAACATTCGCGCACCACGGAGACTAGCGGGAACCTTTGAGAAAAAACAACTGGAGCACCACGGCACTGGCACAACTCCTGCCGCTAGTCCTCAAGATAGGTAGATGATTTAGGTATCGGGTTCAAGTAGAAATCCTTTGCACCGAGTTCAGGTTTTTCTGCGCTCACACCTCTCCGATAGGTAGACTAGATAGCCTCTGTCTGTTGGACGCACGGAGGAGCTCTCCTCTGCTCGACTCGACTCGCTGTCATGTGCTGCTCGCACACTTGGCGCTCAATGGTAAATCTCGATCCTAGTAGATGGCGCTCGAATCGCCGCGCTCGTTGTTGACTATGACGACGGCGGCGGCGGTGGCGGCGGCCGCTATGACGACGACGACCGTCGTAGGGAGGAGCTCTTTCTGCCGCCGCCGCCGCGCTAGCTACGGCTGCGACTCATGGAGAGACATCGTCGTCGATTACTCGAGGAGACATTTAGAAGCGGGTGGTGTTGGTGCGGCGGCGGCGGCAGGCGCTCAGTTGACGGGTCCACCGCGGCCGCTCTCTGCTCTTGCCGCAGCGGCGACTGGTGTACAGCGGCAGCGCGTACCGGATGTCCCAATGTAACAACGGCGACTGCTTCAAACAGTCAGTCAGTCAGTGAGTCGCTCCGTCGGTCCGTCCTCGCGGTAGACGACGGCGCTGCCGCCGCCGCCGCTTGCTCGAACGTCAACGGCACGCCAAAGGGAACTTCGACAGGCGCATAGTCACCGAGGCAGAGGACCCCGCAATCGGAGGCGCTCGCTCAATGGTATACTGTCAAAGCCGTATTCCGTCGACCATTCCTCTGACAGTCGGAGCGACCGACCGTGCGTCCGTCTATCCGTCTGTTCGTCCGATCGTCTGTGCGAGTCTCATTCGTGCATCGCACGTAACTCGTATGAACTCTCATCGTAGAACGGTGCCGTTGTTCGACCGACGCGCTCGTTCGGTCGGGTTACCGAAGTTTCTCCCGAAATTTTTGGTCTCCCGGCGCTCCTGCGCACTTGTTCTCGAAAGCTGTGACTTCTCGACGGAGACAAGGTCTGCCATGCGGTCAGGTCGTTGAAAGCCGCAAGGTTCCGCGGAGATTGTTCCCGATCTCCGTCGGTTACCCATCCGCTCTACCGCTCGGGACTCTTGCAGCCACTGTCAAAGTGAGTCCGCTCGGCTCACAGTCAGTGACTCAATAAACTCGGACCGCAGAAAATCAAACACGGAACTGGTCGAGACCATCCGACCGAGTCTCGACTCCTCAGCGGAAGGGACCAACCAGCAAAACAAAAACACGAGAATCTTCCGCGTATATTACGCGTTATCGGTCGGTGCGTCAGGAATTCCTGAGAGCATCTCCGAGATTTACGGACGAATCGACGGACAGCGTTCCGCCAACGCCTTTTGGGACCAATCAAGCATTCTGCCTACAGATGCTCGAACGCTCGTACAGGTGGACGTTCTGACGATGCGGCGGATGTGCGCACACCTGTGAGCCGCTAATACAAAATAGAGCTTACTTACAAGTACGTCTGGCCGTCTATCGCCGCCCCTCGGCACAGGAAACGAGCACAGGCGAACGAAGACCTCCGAGCAGCGTACTATGACAATGCCATCGTGCACAATCACATTCTAGTACGGATGACAGAGAAAGGTTCGCCCTGCACCTGCTGCCGCTCACATTGAGCTCTGCGAAGGTTTCGTTTCACGTCGACGGTACAATCAAGCGAGGAATCGGTCGAGAACCTGACTCGATGACGGTCTTCATTTCGTCCCTTTCCGAAATCGAAAACAACCGTATTCTGTGACCTTCGTCATGACAGCAGTAACCGAAGCGATTCTCAAATTCAAAACTTCGATAATTTCTCTTGATTCACAAGCGCGTCTGGGTCGCGAAGACCGAACGATGCTCCCAGCGGAGCCCCAATCCCGATTCGCGCAGTCTGAATCTACGACGGTGTTCTTTTTTTCAAAGTTAATCTCATTGGATTCACAGCGGCGAACCGAGGCTCCCGGTCCGGAGTATCTGACGGTCCGCTGTTCTTTGACGGCTCCCCATGCTCCTCTTATTGATGCGTTCATTTGTTCTTCATCCCTAAATTCGCTTGCGACCAATTTCTGCAAGTTTGTGATCATCGGAATCTCGGAGCCGGAGGACGAAGATGTCGGGGGATAAGCGGTGAAATCGACACCTCGGACGGGAGAAACGCTCGCGGCCGATACCGCCGAGACCGCCACCATAAGCGCCGCTCCTGATGCGAACACTGAACAACCATAGAGCAATGTTTGCTGCTGATCGTGGCGATGGTGTTAGTGTCGACGGCGTAACTGTCCATAGTAAGCCAGCAGGTTGAGCATTCGGCGAATCCGTCTGAGGAGAGTTAGACAGCGCTAAGACGAAGCATGCAGAACCTCGACGCGATGGATGCAGTTTCTGATAATTAGGCGTGAGGTAGTGGCTCAGACTGAGCCTCCCGATCCGAAGCATCAAAACTTAATCCTCAGCTCTGGAGGCACCAGAGACATCTAAGCACCATCCGACAAACTCATAGATACACATTCGTGGATGGCCAGACCAGAGTACATAACAGTTAGCTCGGGACGCCCGGACGCTCGCCGTACAGTGAACAGATCCATCGGACGTTGAAAACGCTTCGGTAGAATTCGAAAGCGCAGTCCGACGAATTGGAACTGAACCGAGGCTCGCAGTGAATAATATTCGAAGGCATACATTGTGAATGACGATTTCCGCATGCGGCTTGTCAGGAATCCATTTCCGTTGAAAGAATCGATTTTCCCGAAAAACTTTTGAGACTTTGCTCCGGAAGCGAAATCATCTACAGGGAAACAATAATGGAACACTGAAGGCTCTGACGCGTCGGGGACTTATCGAACGAATTCCTCGACGTAGTGAGGGCTCTCGATGATGACATGGGTCAGTCAGATCGAAGTATCCGTCGCGCGTTCCCTCTGACCGAGGTGTTTCAGACTCGTGAATCTACGATCGGGAGTTCGAGGAGAACTCCACCGATTTTCTGTCTCGAAATCGGCTCTGCTGCCCTCACGTGTTCAGCATGAGCAGAATAGACGACTGACGCGCGTTGCGAGCGGTCGCCCGGTATCCCTTCTATCGTTTGCTCAGACGACCTCACACCGACAAGTGACAATACCGTGAAGTTTTTCTCAAAACCCGATCGGAGCCCACATCTTGATCGCGGAGCCATTCCGCTCGTCATTATCCTGCACGCCGATCGCGCGCAGTGCACGCGTTGGCGAGGCAACGCTCTACGTCGAGGCATTGCCCCTACCGACTGTTACGTAATCGTATTGTGATTCCGAAGGCCGCCCAAGTCTGCGAAGGCCACCACACGGTTTCCTGAATCGCTTGGCGAACGGGTTGAACAGAAGACGTTGCTACATCCAGATATGGCGAGTGATGTCGTCGGCTCAATAGTGGCAAGAGGCGTCGGAATGCCGCGACGTTACAACGCTCGGAACGATGTGTCACAACTTGTGTGTTTTGTCCTTATCACAGAAAACTACTGATGATCCGGGTCCGTGGCTCGTGCTCGTCTTCGTCGAACGATCAGACGGGTTTTGTGCTTTCGATCGGATCGATCGGAAATCCACAGCATGTAACAAGCCAAGTGTCGTGGAGTCGAGACTCAGAATCCCAGGGTTAGAAACCTTCCATGGGGGCGAATCCGAAGGTCCATTGAAAAGCGTCCGGACAGAGGAGAAGTCTCTCGTCAAGCGCTCGAACTACTCCACTACAACTCACGGTCCCAAGTTCTCACCGTCTGATACGCCAGCGAGTAATGATGGATGCGACAGAGTGTACGAGTTGCGTATCAGTTATTTGACCGTGTGTAAACGGCTCTTTTTTTTCGTTTTCTTTCGTCTGTCGCCTTTCTGTCCGTCGTCGGGAGAGCTCGCATTTTTGTCGAATGAACGTTATCGCATCTGCAGCTGGCGTTCATGAGAAGCCGACTGAGAAAAGATGAGACCGCTCCAGATGCGATGAAAACGGAGAAATGGATCTGTCGAAAACGAGACACTCACCTGTAAAAGACACAGAAAGCACTGATTAATCACGAGGGATCCGAAGACCGTGAATCTTCTCTTCATTAGGGTCAGGATATGGGGGGGGGGTGTATGTAGTAGATATATGTTTATAGCAGACTACCTAATCGATGCTAGTTTGCTCCATGAGCCTTCTACCTTCAAGGATTTCATTGAATATTCCAGCTCGGGATGAAATTGTACATTTTCAACAAAGTTCACCCTTAAGCTGAAGAATTAGAACCCCGTCTTCCCGAATCCGATTCACGCAAACAGATCGAGTCGGACATTCCAACACAAGTTGTTGTTCTCGTCTGGCCCATGTGGTGCGAGATATCGGGTGGCCGAAATCAGCGGGTGGAATCCCGAGTTCCCGAAAAGCCCATTTCTTGAATAGACCGCTAAGAAACAGCGACACCGCACGGAACTGTGGGCATTCGCCCAGGGAGCGATTCCGGGTCAATAAGAGCTTGATCATCTCAGCAAGAAGCTCGAGCGCCAGCCGGATTGAGTGATCAATAGGTCGAAATACCCAGTCCCCGAGAGCGCCCATGTTCCGCTCGGGGGATTCCGGGGAACGAGTACACATAACATTAGACCGCAACCGAGCCGGCCAAAACTGGATGCGAACGCCTCCAGCTCACAAGGCGGTACTGATCACCACAGGCATTTCCAATGCAAAAGTTGAGCATGCGTGAGTTCGTGGAAGGGATACGCCATCGGCGAATTTGGCAGATCGGGCGATTCCCAGTCGACTGGGGCCTGTACAGCCGGTCAACCTGCACATCA